TTTTTCAAAAAAGTAGAAAAAGTTGATTGTTTGAAAAAAAAATAAAAATAAACATTTTTCTGAGTAGCTTTTCAATAGTTGAGTAGTCCACTTGCAAACAGCGTTATGTGATTTTATAATAGAAAGCCATAAATTAAAAAAAAAACGACTACGAAAACAAGTAACATTTAAATTGATTTTTTTTACTATTACCTGAAAATTTGGATAAATAAGAGCCTTATAAAAGTATAACATAACATAACATAACATGGCATAAGATAACATTAGATGTCTATACGATCGATGGATACTTTATGGAAGTTTATAAATAAGTATGATAGCGACTTTTGGAAGAAGAGTTAACATTTGATGCTATTTTTTTCAGAATATAAAAAGATTTTGCACTGTGTTGTTAGTGGACATGAAACTACTTTAAATACTGGTACGTAATAAACCAAAAAGTAAGAAACGAAAAAATTTTACATAGCGCACTTTGCAAGTGGACTACTTAGTTCTAGAGGCCCTGAGAAGGAAAAAGAAAGTTTGCAAATATACGCCGAAAAAAACTTCTTTTTTTTTAAGTCGAAAAAGATGAATTTAAAAAAAAAAAATAAATAAAAATAAAAAATAATCTGAGTAGCTTTTCAATCGTTCATTTGCGTCATACCGTACACCAGCTTCCCATACATATTCTCACCTCGTCTTGGCAGCCGAGTGTATCTACTTTGTCCGTACGCTCTGGCGTGGACTCTTATTTCACAAAAAGTGGTAGTGCCATATATCAAGTGTGATTTGGACATCAGTTATCAGATTTCCGTTCTCGTCTTTACTACTGTAAAAGACACAAAATTCCTCTCAACGCTGCCAGAGAGGAAGTTTATCGAGGGGCCAAGCACTCGTATGCCTACTACAATTTTGCATTCACAATGCTCTTTGTAAAATCAAAAACCTGTATTTTTAAGGGGAAACAACCCATCCTAATGTGAATACGTTCACTAAGTACATACATATATTTATAAGTAGTTATATATATGAATATACATATGTATGTATGTGTTTGTGGCTAGATAAATATTTGCAGTTGCATTTAACTGCTCGGTGTGTTTTTTTCTAATTTACCACAAGCACAAGCTTTCACCAACAGCTGACAAATAGCCAATAAGCCAAGCGTGCATCTAGACGCAGAAGAGATGAACGAGTATGTATAAAGGATTTTAAGTGACCGATGACATGGCTGGACAATTACTTTGGTATATGCTGTAGGAATGAAGAACACATATTCGAAAACACGCACGAAGAAAAAACTCACTGCGGCCCGGTCCAGCACAACCCAAACCGAAACAAATATGTATTTACTTTAAGGAAAAATATAGCATTGCTGTTAATTATTTTACACAAGAAAATTTAAATAATACTTAATAAAAAATGGTTTTTTGGCGCTTACAACTTTGCAAAGCATCTCCTCAAATTTGTGGTGCGTGTCTTGATGTTGTTACACAAATGGAGGGCCTAAAGTTTTACGCCGCCGACGAACCGCAAATGAATTTTATGAGAAGCCTTTTCATCGCAGAAATACAATCGGAGGTCTGCCATTGCATGACGAGAAACAACTTTTTCTAACTTATATGTTGTTACTCAGACACAGCTGCCGAACCTTTTGCTACAATTTATTACTTTTTAGTGCGATTCCTCTGGGCGTTTGCTTCGCGGTTCTTAAATTGGCAAAGTTGCACACTCATAGCTTTTAGCGGGGCAAAAAAGGGAAAATTTTTATTCGAGTAAATGTTAGCCATAGATCACCCTATTGATGAGTTAATTGTAAAAATGTATATATTTACTATGTATAGATATACATATATGTATATTAGACTGTGTCAAATATAACGAATGTTTTTTTTCCTTTCGGTCCCGTACGAGAATTTCGTTGTCGGTCACAAAAAAATCTTCATTTTTCAGTTATCACTCCCAAAAATAAGAATTTTTAATGAAAAAAAATTGTTTTCCCTACTTTTTTTGATAATCAAATTAAATATGATAAATTGAAAGGGGTTACGAAATTGCCGATTCAATTTTGTATAATAAGTGCAAGTTTGAAGTAGCTAAGTTTTACCGTTGATTTTTGACCATTTGTTCAATGGACGGTTTTCTTTAATGTAACCAAGCCTTCGAAGAAGAAGAAAATAGCCCAATTCCGGTTTCACAAAAGCAATTTAAGTGAAAAATAATTTTTCACTTTCAGTTTCCATTATAAGTTTGAATAAAAAAATAATTTTTCACTTAAATTGCTTTCGTGAAACTGGCTATAACACCGTAGAAACGAATGCTGCAGTTTTCAATTAAAATCAATTTACACCATAATGTACTGTAAGTAAACTAAAACAAGTTTCTCGAAAATTCAAAAGCTTTTATTGTAATCCAATTCCGCGATTTCTGGGACTTGAAAAAAAGCGGGATCCCGAAATTCCGGCATTTGCATCCCTAATATGTGCACATGTGTGTATATTTACTTTCGCCATCCAAATGTTATAAGTATATGTATGTACATATATATAAGTTTGAAATTATAGTGCATATAAAATGGGTATTAATATAATGAATGTTAATGAAATTTTTCCCTATCCTACATACGGAAATTTAATGAGCTGAATTGCGTTAGAAAAAAATAAAACATTCATGGTACATTAGCGGTAGTACACTCTCGTTTAAATGAACGTCCGAAATAGTGAGCAACAAAATCCTGAGGTTCTGAAGAGTGGAAGCCTACATATCCCAACTATGTGAACAAACGGTTTTTCCAAGAATTTATTTTCGAATGGTGTTCTTCTCCGAAAAAAGCGATTCGGAGCGATTTTTTAATGCGAGGTGTATTCAAATTGTGCTAGATGCTGGAACCAGCTATATTGGTGATCGTCCTCGAAATTATCAAAGTTCCGTAATAATTTCTGCAATTTTCCAGCATTATTTTGGAAGGAGCAGATTCACTTGCATAGCTCGCAATGAAATTCAAAGCTTTAACTCGAGAAATGTGAAGTAGCAAGTAGTCACTTTTAAACAAGTAAGTAGTTCAAGACTATCATCATCCAGACTATATCATTTCGTGACTAGTTTCGAACTATCCCGAAGTGATCCAGCACTAGTTCCAAAATGGTCCCGAAGTGGTTTTGAAAAAGTCGTAAACTTGTCCCAAAGGAATACCGAACCAGTCTTGAAACATTCCCAAAATGGTCCCTTACTAGTCTACAAATATTTCCAAGCTCGTCTCAAATATTCCAGTAATAGTCGTGGACTAGTCGCGAAATCGTCCTGAGCTAGTCTCTAATGGTTCAGAACCATTTAGTTCGGAAATAGTCCTGAACAGGTCTCTAAATCGTCCCAAATGCATCCCGCACTAGTCTAGAAATGGTCCTGACTAGTGCTGAACTTGTTCTGAAATTACCCTGAACTAGCCCCACAATTATCCCGAACTAATTCCAAAATGTACATGAAATAGTCCTGAACTAATCTCGAATTGGTGCAGAACTAGTCCTAAAAGAGTTACCAAATACATAGTCGTGCACTAGTCTCTTATTTTTATTAAATTTTTTGTTTCTATTATGTGAACAAATATGTAGAAATAGTGAACCCCCCGCTTTTCTGAATTAGCTAAAATAATTGAGCCGCTACTGTATACATACATTTGGCTATCACCAGAGCTAGAATAGCTAGGGAATGCTAAAAAGAAAAATTAGAAGCAAAAAATGCATAACGCAGCTTAATTGGACATCATTTAAGTAATAAAAATTTGAAGGCTGCTGCTGCAGCAAAATTATGCACATACATATACACATCAGTTTGTGTAAAGTTAGTCTTAATAAAAGTTATAAAGAGGTTATGATTTAAGAGTATACTAATAAACATTTCTTTCATACTTCCTCTGATGGAAATGGACTTTGAAGTTAATAAAAACTTTTCTTAAACAGAAGTGAGTAGTCCACTTGCAAACAGCGTTATGTGATTTTATAATAGAAAGCCATAAATTTGAAAAAACGACTACGACAACAAGTAACATTTAAATTGAATCTTTTTTATCATTACCTGAAAACTGGATAAATAAGAGCATTATAAAATTATAACATAACATACCATGACATAAGATAATATTAACAGTCTACAAGACCTAAAACAGTTTTCTAGGTTCATCAGAAGATGGATACTTTTGAAAGTTTATAAATAAGTATGATAGCGACTTTTGGAAGAAGAGTTAATATTTTATGCTATTTTTTCCGAATATAAAAAGATTTTGCACTGTGTTGTTAGTGGACATGAAACTGCTTTAAATACTGGTACGTAATCCACTAAAAACTAAAAATCGAAAAAATTGTACATAGCGCCCTCTGCAAGTGGACTACTCAAGTCAACAAATTTGTTTATAATTTCATAATGTATAACTATATCCTTAAACCCAGCGTGCTTAGCCAAGCATTTTTAAGAGTTAAATATCTCAACTTATCTTAGGAGTAGTGCAGTCATGAAATTTTCCTATGTGTAAAATTTAAGCTACATTGGATCCCATCGCATAAAAATTACCACATTTGATTTGTGGTCGCTATATACTCGCTTACACACTTTTGGTATGCCATCATAAGGCATCTCACAGAATAAATAACCCAACATTAGTTATTCTGCGGACAACTTAAAAAGGTTGCGCATACGCTCCGGTGTCCTGCAGTAAATGTATTCATTCATGAACATGGAAATATTTCGTGGAAAGTAATTAATACAGGTTACCGGATTTGTTGACATTTTATTCGCTGCCAAAGCTTACTCATAATCTTTACTCAGAAATTTTATTGCGGCTTTCAGCTTTACCTGTGACCAATACATTTAGATAAATATAATTATACAAACATACATACTTATGTATAAGTACATATAGTATTAGTATCGAGCTTCTAAAAAATTTTATATATTTTATGTATTTCTTAAATGCGTTTGCACTGAATTCGTTGTTGATTATCGGTGTGTCTTCTCATTTTTTACAGGCAGCAGAATCAGGAAATTTGGATGAGTTTAAGCGTCTATATCAAGCGGATAATGGTCGTTTGTCTATAAAAGATGGCAAGGGACGAACAGCTGCGCATCAAGCAGCAGCACGAAATCGTGTGAATATATTGAGATATATAAATGATCAGCATGGCAGTAAGTTAATTGGATATCACGTCCATAATTCTACTATTTTATGTGGAATAGATTGTGCGACAAATTTTCATTTTATTTAATTGCAATATTTTTTATTTTCTTACAGATTTTAACGCAAAGGATAATGCAGGAAATACTCCACTACATGCGGCAGTTGAAAACGATTCGTATGAAGCGCTTAGTTATTTGCTGTCCCTGTAAGTTTCAAAAGAAATTATAAGCTTTTTAGAAATAAAAAAAAAATAAAATATCTCGGACTGTTAGTATTCACCTAAAGAGTGAGAACTTTGCCAGTTAATATTAATCGCTTGCAAAAATGCATGTTTTCTAACATAGCTTAAATACTTTGTTAAACGGAAATTATTTGCATATATCCATCTAATAAAAGTTTGTCAGTGACAGTGTCTACTTCCCTTCGCAAAAACAAGTTCTAACTTCGAAATACATTTTGAATGTAATGATTCCACTCTCTATTGGAATCGCCAATGTTAACTGAGTTTTCTGCGTACTCATCCGCAGGTAAATGGCCTATTGGCAGTATATCTTAGCGTCGTACTTTACAATTTACCGTAAGTTTTTCGAGTGGTTCAGTATAGAGCATTTTAAGTTAATCCGGCCAGCGTTCTGGTCTGGTATCCGCCGCCCTGCATCCTCTCTGCGCATTAAATGAAGCAAAATTGTTCGAAGTAGTGAATATATTCTGGCCGACGTTGAGCCGCACATAGACCCATAGGTCCTTAACGTTGCCATTTGGGCTCGTTTTTACGCGTTAAAGTAGACATCTCAAAGAATGTCAACGCTTTTTGCGAATTTCAGCAGCAATTTTAGCTCCACTTTGGGGATGTAATACTGATGGATATCCATTACCTCAACCACTAGATTAAAAATTGCTGCTTACAAATATCTTTACTGACTAAATAAATATAAATTCTCTAACTCTTACTTAATTTCTGATAAAATATATATTTTTTTCCATACCTCAATAATTTACTTATGAAAAGTGGCGGCAAAACAAATAGAGCCGCGACATTTTAAAAAGTTTTGACTGTTTTTGTTTTTTATTTAAATTTTTTTCATTAAAATTTCAAACCCTTTACAAGAATTTTCAGAAAAAAATTTGGAATGCAATTTTATAGTCTATTTATTTTTAGTGTGATTTTTGATAAGTTTTTTTTCTGACGGTTTTACGCATTTTCTTCTATACAAAGTATCTTCGAACATTTTTTTATATAGAAAAAAATGCGAACAACGTCAGCAAAAAAAATATCAAAAATCAACAGATTTCTTTTGCTCCTTACAATTCTTACAATTCCGGTTAAAAAGTTTAAATTTTGATGAAACTTTGTTTAATTTTGCTATTTTTTGTACAAAGTTTACTTACGTGGTTTTTGTTTACAAAAAACATAATAAACAATAAAAAACAAAAATCAAAAAGCCAAACTTTATAAAAATTTGCGCCCCTATTTAGTTTTCCGCCAGTGTATGCATACGACTCTAATAAATTCCATCTTATCATCACAGTCCCGTCGATACTAGTTTACTCAACGAGAAGAAGCAAGCCCCGGTACATTTGGCAACCGAATTGAATAAGGTACATGCGCTACGGGTAATGGGTAATTACCGTAAAGTAATCGATATACAACAGGGTGGTGAGCACGGACGCACCGCATTGCATTTGGCCGCCATTTATGATCATGAGGAGTGCGCTAGGATATTGGTGAGTGTAAGCATGAACAAACATGAGAATGTTTTGTAAGTGAATATATGTATTGCACATGTAAATATGTATGTAAATACAAGCGCACTTAGATCTAACAAAAAATCTATATGACAAACTGATACAAAACCACGTAATTATACACACACCCTTTTGCCATAATAGGTACATTAGCCGTAACGGAGTTATTCTATGTCTCCATTGCGAGATTTACCTACTAAGATTTAATAAATTCAATTCTAATGCAAATTATCCCCATAGTCACAAATGGATATATTTGACTTTTACATTTCCAAGTATGTGACGTTTATTTACGTTGAATTTTATAAATACAGATGGACCGGCATTAGAATACAGAAAGGCAGTAAGAATGCACCTACAGTGCAATCGCGTCAGTAGCAAGAAGAATGAGCCATAAAAGGACATTTTTGTTAAAAAGAAGCCATATTTCGTTCCTTTATCATTATTAGCTTCTTAGTTTTACTCGATTTTTTTCCCATTACTTTTTTATTAAAATCCAATATAAAAAAAAAAACATAATAAAGTAGATGATTTCTTAGTTGTTGTGATTTGCATGTTCGCAACTGTATGTTCAAAATATAAATGTCATTTGACTAATGTCGTGGGAATTTGAGATTGTCACACCCAACAAATTGTATTTATTGATTAATATTGTGCCCAATACTGCAAAACAAAAATGGCAGGTCAAAGCGAACAACAAGATAATGATAGAATGTGCGATAAAAGATGTAGAAGCTTCGATAACTTTCGATAAGAACATTCTAGAGTTGTCATGAGTGCCAACGCTTGTATATATATAAAGACGTTGCTACAGCTCACAGAAAGTTCAGTTGCGAATTACCACTTAGGGTGCAAGTACGAGTTACAGAGATCAACTGCCTGAACAAGTATTGTAAAAGTATTGGCTGTACAACAAAACTATTTGTACTGGATACCAAGCGAGAGTTTATTTAACAATCAAGTGAAACGGACCTAATAGATTTAGGGATTCAGCCATTTATTCAAAGATAATTGTAACAATTGGTGTCAAAAGAGGATTGTTAAATGAATCCAATGAGAGAAAGTTTTTGAATTGACGATGTTGTATGATTTGACGAGGCTGCCTCTCAAAAAGTAATTATCAAAGCAAGGATTAAACCAAGTGGAGCTACAATCACGGTTACAAGAATGTTGTTGAGGACGAGGAAAGAAGAAGAGCTGGAAGAGGCTGCTTCTGCATCAAAGGATATGCAGCAGTCATCAAGTAAAGTCTACTTGTTCTTCTACTCGTATTGATATGAGTACGTTAGTGGCTGCAATTTCATGCCAGATGCAAGCGCTAGAGTCACATATCCCTTCAACAGTGTCAGCGCAGGTGTCAATGCAATTGTGAGAGAAGCTGCAGAAAACTAATATACCATCGCAGCTGGATGTATGTGTATACCACGCAGCTTAAGGAAAATTTTGTCAAAGATAACGCGGAAGTCAAATAGAGAAAGAGAATAAAATCGAGGAGCAGCAAGATAAAATCGAGGCGCTTATTAAAGAGAAAGTGGACAATTTTACCGTTATGCTGTTCGCCTTTTAGAAGTTTAAGTTTTTTAAAAGTTAGGTTAAATTAAATTACAAAAACATATTAAAACAATGAAAATAAATAAATAAATTAAATTAAATTAGAAATAGAAATAAATTTAATCAAAAAAGAAGGAAATAGTATATGAAATTAAATTGAATTCAAAATATTTTTATTAAAAAAGACGAAAAAAAAATTTAAAAAATTGAATGGAATTTTAAGAATTAAATGAAATAAAAAATAAAAAAAACTTATAACAAGTCAAAACTAAAAAAAAAGAAAAATAAACAAAATAAATTTCTAAAAAGTAAATGAAATTAAAATAATACTTTCTCTTTTTTACAAAATAAAATCTAAAAAGTAAAAGAAAATAAATCTAAAAACAAAAAAACTTTTTAAAAATTACAAAAAAAACAAGTTTCTAAAAATTAAATGAAACTAAAAATTTAAAAACCAGAACAACCCAACCATTAAAAAGAACTAAATAAATCAAAGTTTTATTGAAAAAGAAAAAAAATTATATAAAATAAGTTTCTAAAAATTAAATTAAAATAAAAAATATGTACTACATATTATTAAAAAAGAAAATAAATTCCGCTGCACCAGGACTCGAGCTCGAATATCTCGATTGGCACGCCTGTGCTTTGCCCACACGGTCATTGTGGCTGTTGAAGTGACGCGAGCTAAATGATATACAGTGCTTTATCTCACAACAGCTTTACACCACGAGTAGTGAATGAAAGAGCTTTTCTTCTAAGTTTTTTGTGCTAGAATAACAAAAGTCTTTCGAACTATTTGTCTTGCCATCTGTCTTTCATTTGTATTACGAAAGACTTTTAACTATCTTAGCTAGAATTGCCCAGTAAATCTCGCAATGCAGACATAGTATTAATCTTCGTCATTTTGAGCATCCGTATAGCATTTTTTAAATCTTATTTTTTCTTTATGTAAATCCATTGGTTGGTCGTGTATAAAAATATTTATTATGTTCAACCCACAACCATGAGATCCCTACTTTATGCACATTTCCATATGTATGCGTTGACAAAGGCAAACAAATTAAAATCGTAAACTGTTAAACAAAATTCACTTATTTCTAATATTTTTTTTTACAACGTATTTTTTAACTTATTTTTCATTAACCAGTTACTATTTTTATTTTTATTTCACTTTTACTCTTTTAAAGTCATCATAGTTGTTGTCGTTGTTATTGTGTAGCGTCATTTGAACACCTTTTAATTCGTTGTGTATATATATCTGTCGTATATTCCAGATAACCGAATTTGAAGCATGTCCCCGTAAACCCTGCAACAATGGTTATTATCCCATACACGAAGCGGCTAAAAATGCCAGCTCCAAAACGATGGAGGTCTTCTTGCAGGCAAGTAAAAGCATAGTTGTGCACATACATGGATACAGACATACACTGGTGGCAGAAATAACAGACTCGGCTTATTTGGACCAGTTTTGGCTATATTTCATTTTTTTGTGTGGTTTAAATAAATAGTTTGAAATTTTGGTAAAAATGTGTTTGATTTTTTATAATTTTTGTACAAAGTTCGAAGTGTTAATATATGTATGTGGTGTTTGTTGTATAGCTAGCTAGAATTTTGTAAAAAAATATTACCCAGTAATATAAAGCGAGTCTATTATTTCTGCCATCAGTATACATATTTACATATGTATGTGCTAATTTATTTGCAATCATACACATGCACATTTAAACAGCCCATTAAAATGTGTAGTAAAATTACGCACCTTTGTTTGTGTATGTATTTTTGTCATTTGACCAGATGTACACCAAATCCACAATTTTTTTTTTGTTTATTGTCTTTTTTTCAAATGTTTATATATGTGCGCTCTACGTGAATAATGTTAACCACGTGCGGTCAATCCTTGTGTATTTTCCAATTTAGTTTTTGAAAACCGGTCAATTCTGCACAACCAACCCATTGTTAACTTATTTAGTAACATCCATACATACACGTACATATGTGTGTGGGGGCAATACAGTTTACGTATGCATACATATGTACTTGTAGCATTATGTCTTTCCTGCTTATTTGCATATCCCATTGTGAGTAGTCTGCAAATATTTGAAAATACTGGCCATCACCAAGTATGTAGATGATGGTCTCTTGAGTTATCTTAAAATAAGGGGTTCGTTTGCTGAGTTTACCCTGGTGTATACGTACATGTCAACTCAGTTTAAGCTTTTGCTTGTGTACATATGTATTAAACTTTTCACTCTTAGGGTCGTTTTCTCAAGTAATCTGTAACTTTAAAGCTCACTTTATATTTAAAGGTTGGATTAAAAATAAAGCTATATCTAAAGTTAAGCATTTCTATTACGGTTTTTGACAAAAGATTACTCACTGAAGACTTCATCGAATTTAGAACAAACTAGTAGATCAAAAAATTAGCTTCTATGTTTATTAAAAAGTAGTGTAATGACGAAAATCGCAGCTGAAGAGCTTGATTTTTTTATAAATTTGTATAACTACTCTGCAAAGAAACAAAAATGTTAGATAGGGCCTTTCTATATTAAGGCAACGATATGATCATTAAAATATAATAAAAAATATGTTTGATATAAGCGCCAAAAATGTATGTATAGGAAAAATTGTTCGATTAACGCATAAAAACTTTTTGTACATACGTACATATGTACATTAAAGTGGTCCAAAAATGTATGTAAAAAAAATAAGGTCGAATTTTTAATGCCGCCAGCCCCTAGGATTGTTCTATACCAAAACAAAATTATACCCCTATTTTTTTGTTTTGAAATAAAAAAAAAATTAGGGTGTGCTCAAAGCGCTCAAAGTTTTCAATGTATTTTATATGGGGAAAAAACAACTTTTCGTAGAAATAGTGTAGAATTCTTGAAAATCATTATTTTTCGATCGGAAAACTTTGCTTATCTTCAGGAGATTTCCGGTAATAATACCCAATTGTTCCTTTAACAATTTTTTCATGGTGACTATATTTTATGGGTCCTTGAAAATTCAATGTGGGGACCAATAAAAAATCTTTAATCATAAAAAATGGTTGAATAACCAATTGGATATCAATATTTGAAGTCTCCTGAAGAGAGCCACAGTATTACGATTGAAAAATATTGATTTTCAAGAGTTGTATGCCATTTTTACGAAAAATTTTTTTTCCCCATATAAAATACATGGAAAACTTTGAGCGCTGTGAGCACTCCCTAAATATTTTTTGATTTCAAAATAAAAAAATAGGGGTATATTTATTTTCGGTTCAGAACAATCCTAGGGGGTGGCGGCATTAAAACTCCGACTTTATTATTTTGGACCACTCTAATGTACATACAAAATGTATTTAACAAAGTTTGATTGAATTTGAAATTGAAAAAAAAAAAATATATGAATTTTGAATCGTTTGTTTATATTTTCTGGCATAATAGGTCCTTAAAATAGAGTCGACCTGAGTTGTCAATCACACCTTGTTTAATACATCTTGCATACATACATATACATATGTAAGACAAGGCGAATTTGTACAAAGTGGTGTTACTGGCGAATTTAGATTTTCGCCGCGGTACTTCTTTATGTCAAAATGATGTGTTTGTTGTAATATGAATTCGCCTTGTTTACAACAAACACATCAATTTGACAATAGTAAGTACCGCGACCAAAATCTAAATTCGCCATCAACACCACTTTGTATAAATTCGCCTTTTCACAAGACTTTGTTGCACAGAATTTAAAAGATGACAATATTGAGCAGTTACAATAGATTCAGAATAAAACTCCCTGTAACTGTCAGAAAATGTAGTGTACACCGAGGGCCAAACTCACAACCAAAAACCCACCGAATAAAATTGGGTGAGTTTTCGGAAGAGAAGTGTAAACAATTTTGACAGTCACACTTGCTGAATCGCAAAATAAAGGGTGCACATAATTGTCAGTGTACACTTGAACACTCACAGTTACAGAATCCAGTCCCTGGAAACTGTTAAACAGCTTTGGCTAAAAACGAAAAATTTTGATTGAAAAACAACAGTCGAAATATTTTTACGAGTACATTAAAATTGTTTACTAAAAAATAACGGGACTTTCCGTTGTTTGTCAGCTTTTACTTTTTGTCAATAAAACAAACCTCGTCTGCGAACCTGGCTATCTCCGCAAAGGTATTGTCAGATGAAATTATGCGAAAATTAATTAACTTTTTACCAAAATAATCATTTTTATGCATTTTCATGCTTTTTCGCCAAAATATACATCTTGTGCCATAATATGCATTTGCATAGTTTTGTCTTCCCTAATAATAACTGACATCAAACGAAATTATCGTATAAAAATATAAATACGCACATAAATACACATTTACGTAATAAAAATCTTCCGCGTTCTTCTAAACTGTACATACATATTTATTTATGAAAAAGCTATAGCTAGTGTGATACGTAGGCGTCATAAGTTTGGATGTGCATAGTGATAGAACTTTTGAGAAAAGTATCGATACTAAATAGTACTCCTATAGAATACTCTAAAGATGAATCGGTGCTGGTACTCATATTTGAAAAAAGGTATCGGTAATACTCATATTTCCAACTATTTTTAAAGCAACCGTAAAAGTTAAACAAAATAATAAATAAAGTGGATAAGAATTTGGTGTTCATTTTTACAAAAATCTCGTATCGATTCAATATACTCCGCATTAGAAAATGCTGATAGAGTAGTGGCTTTTTTATTAGGCAATTGTAATTGAAGGAACGAATCAGTTTTTTGATATAACTTGCATGTAGCCGAAAAAAACTCTTTACATATCGATACTTTTTGATATTCGCGATACTTGCTCATCAGTATTTGTCAAAAAGTATCTCGAGTCCCCGACACTACTCAGTACTTAGAAAAAGTATCGATATTTTGTACTCGGTACTCATATCGTTCTATCACTAGATGTGCATACATATCTCCATATCTACATTGAGAGCGCACTCTTTGCTCGGCCGAACGCCTCCACCATCCTTATGTTTCCTTCAAACTACAGAATCGTTTTTTTTTTCAGTAAAGCAAAAGTAATACCAAATAATAGTATCGCCCAAACAAACTTGAATACATAATCCGTTCCTATTAATAAAACCACAAAGTCAAATGTAAATGTAGTACCTTTGAAGAAAAATCTTTTCACTTTGATCGTTTTATTCATAACACCATACTTCTACATATATACATATGTATGTATGTTTGTCAGTATATTCGTATATATGCAAGTATATTTGAATATTCAATGTTATAGATAGGGATGTTTCGGGTAGAAGTCTTTCCAAATAATGAATTTCGTAAAGCATGTGAAAAATAAGAGTTGGATTTTTATATCCGAACGAATATGCGGTAGTCTACTGTGCCAACGAATTTTACAATATTGTTGCACTGTGTTTTTGGTGGACTAGTAAATCAGTAATCATGAGAAGACCAGTTCAATCATGTGAGAAATACCGAACTTTAGTGAAAGCTTTTCGGCAATAGTTATTGCTAGATCCTAAAGGAACGTTTGTTGCAGACATCATTATCATATTATGAAAAATGTGACAAAAAGTTGTTCATCTTTATTTTTGCATATTTTTGTTATTTTTTCAAGCTATTAGTTAACTTGGCCATCGCGCGGAGATATCCAATCCATTTTAAGCTACATAACTTCTCGACAAATCAAAGAATCACGCCAACTCAATTCAAGCATGTGCAATAGGGTGGTAAAAAAAAAAAAGTAAAGTAGATTTTTTCCCCTTTATTGATTGCGTATTTAAATTAATACAGGGTTTTCTCAGAAAAGTACATTTTGTGTGAGAAGATAGCTTAACATACATAGTTATATTTACTACACTGTCAACAGTGTTAATTTTGTGGATGGAAATGGAAATCATTGCGATTAATTAAATTTAATGCTCACACCCCCTAAAATTGCCTTACACCCAAAAAAAAATGTTACCCCTGTTTTTTTTATTTTGAAATCAAGAATTCTTTAAAGAAGTCGCTTAAAGCGCTCAACATTTTCCACGTAAATTTTGTAGGGAAAAAACAATATTTCCTAGACTTGGTATGGAATTCTTTAAAATCAATATTTTTCGACCGGAATACACTGGTTCTTTACTAATCTTCTCAGGCAGAAATCTCAGTTTGAGTATTCCGGCAAAAGTTTATGTGTGAATGTACTGTTTGTAGACATTTCAAACTTATCTCAAGAGCATACATAATTAAATCGAAGCCTTAACCATTGCATGTGCAATCAGATGTACATACATACATAAGTACATCTGCATATACATACGCATATATACACACATATATCCATACATACATATGTCGTATGTATGCCTCGAGTTTCCTCTTATAGGCCATTTTTCTTTTGCTGGTT